TGTGTGTGTGTGTGTGCGCGCGCGCGCGCGCGCGCGCGTGCGCTCATGTCCATGTGTGTAACTTTGGGGATTTGGTTCTCTTCTTCTGCCAGAGGAGCTCCTGGGATCAAACCCAGGTCATTTGGGTTGGCAGCAAGTGCCTATACCCACTGAGCCATCCTGTGAGCCCATGAGATCTACGAACGGTGTTAAAATGGCCGTGAAATAAGGAGAGCCTCTGGCCTCCACAGGAGCGAGGAGACCACATCTTTGTGAGAACATTCTCCAGGTAGATGAAGAGAATGAGGGTGTTCGGAAGGGAGAGGATGGTGACATGTTCTCACCGGCACATCCCAGGAGCACACTGAGGAACCGTCCCTGTACTTAAAGCATGGGTACCGCAGCCAGGCGGCAGCCTCTCCTGCTAGTGGCCGCCAGCCCTCTGAGTTGAAACTAGCCACATTCCTTGTTGGGTCAGCCGGGTCCAGGATCACAGGCCTGCAGAGCAACATTAAGAAAGGGAATTACGCAGCTGGCCAGTGCATCTGGTACCACGGCACAGGGGTGGGGGTGGGGGAACCAGCAGAGAGAGAGCTCCTATTCAGAGATTGTCCTTTGTCCCTGCCCCACAGATTGTCCTTTGTCCCCCCAGGCCCCAGCATACAGCAAACCCAGAGGGATCCTGGGCATGACCTCAAAGGCCTCAATTCAAATCCTCCAACTTTAGTAGCTGTGTGTCCTGGGGCAGGACCCTCAGCCTCTCTGATCTGTGAGATGTGGAGAGTTGGAGCAGCCAGTCTCAGAGGTTGAGGTATGAAAACTGAACAGATGTGAGATCGGGACATGTCTCTACCTAGGGTCACATAGCACTTGATTATTTACAGGTACTTGGTCCACTGCTGGTCTTCCACACAAGCCTTACAGCCCTTATGATACTGTCACTGTGGGATAATCTCAGTTCCCACTGCATGTCTTCAGTTCCTTTGCTGTTTGGGTCTGGACAATGTCAGAGCCTTGGTGTCCTCATCTGCACACAGGAGAGCCCACCCCTGCCTCCTAGGGCTGTAGGGCCTCATGTCTATCAGGTGACAGCAGGACAGTCCCTTCATAGACACAGAGCTCCCATCTCCCCCTTTCACACAAGAACAGCCCTGTACCGATGGGGAGCAGAGCCACATGGGGACACACTACCTGGCTTTTCTGAGCTGTCTGTGCAGGTAGTCGGAGACCTCTGGATGTATAAAGTCGTAATACACTGTCCAGTAGATTCGAAGCCGTTTGTACTTGGTGATCAGTTCCAAGACGGTCCGGAAGCCCTGGGCTGTGTTGAATTTAGTTGCTCTACTCCCGCGCTCCCAGGCATAGATTGTGAGCAGCTGCAGGGCGTACTGTGGGGGGAGTGGGTCACCCAGCTTCTCCTGACACTGAGAAGAGAAAGGCAAGGAGAAAAACGGGGCTCTCAGCTGTTGTGTGGGGGGCCACTTCTCACAGGGTCAATTCAGCTGCCACCTGATGATGTCATTACAGGTTGATTGTCACACAGCCACGCCCAATCATTTAGATTCAGTCTCTGGCCCATCCTGTGCTATAGTCAAGGGCTGAGTGGTTAAGACAGACACTGTGTGCTCCACACAGACTGAGCACGGCTGGAGAGAGAGTTAGCTGACCGGAAAGTGGACTAGAAGAAATCACCTAGAACAACCATAGAAAGTTCCCCCCTCCTCTCAGATACCCCTCCCCACTCCTTGCCCCTCCTACAGCATCCCCTCCCCGCAGCGTCACTCACACCTGCTTCTCTCTCATCCCTCTGATTCCCTTTCACCCACTTTTTCTTTTACATTGTTTTTCTCAAAGGGACAAAGCATTATCTGGACACAGAATCATGTGAAGAAGATGAACCCACAAGTGAGGAAATGCCTCCATCAGCCTGGCCTGGAGTCAGGCTTGTGGGGCATTTTCTTGATCAGTGTGGGAAGGTCCAGCCCATGGTGGGCATTCTCTGTCCTGGGCAAGTGGTCCTGAGAGGTTTTTAAAAATCAGCCCAAGAGTATCAGGCAGCCAACAGAGTTTCTCCATGGCCTCTGTTTCCCTCAGTGATGGAGTGGGATGCAGGAATGAGAGCCAGACAATCCCTTTCCTCCCCAGTTTACTCTCCAGCCTCATCTTTACCACAGCAGTCAGAGCAAACAAGGACAGAAACCGGTCCTAGGGAGGGGGCACTGCCGTGACTGACCCGCCATGTTGCTCCTTGGGAGGATTGAGGAAGGAGGATGGAACTTTGGGTTGGAAAGCTATTGAGAGCTGAGAGCCTACCAGGCTGTTTGTGGGAACCTGGGAGACAGGGGAGCTGAGAGACAGGCAGAGGATGGAGGCTGGAGTGACGTTTCAGAGGAAAGCAAGGACCCCATCTGGGCTCCTTGTGTGCTGTGTTTGCATGAAGAATCAGGGGTTTCTCATCAGCTGGGGCTGAGATTTAGCTCTGATGGAGAAGAGACATGCACCATGGGGGCCAAGTCTTTTGGAAAGAGTTTCCTCATGGTCAGCAGAGAGTAGGTGTGAGAAGACCGAGCCAGGGTGACTCCATAACAGGCTTCAAACTGGCATATCAGGAGACTAGGCCTGAATTTCTGCTTCTCAGAACTGGACAAGTCCAGGCAAGTCAGTTACCGGAAAACCTAGGGTGTCAGGAGCCAGAATGGGACAAGCTAATAACTAGCAGGTAATCATCCTGAAATGGCTTGCCTTTTATTATATAATCTGCGACAGGCACAGCCTTATTCAGCAAGGCTATAAGGGACTCATTTTAGGAAAAATTCCTGCTATTAATATGCTTTCCATATTATTATTAAACATATATAGCAATCACTAAGCAATAGCACAGCCCTTTAGAGCAGATCTCTGCAGATCCACGAAGATGTACTGTCTTGTAGTGTTGCTATATAGACAAGTAGACGACTTCTTAAGTCTTAATGATGATCCTATAAGAATTCCTAAAACTATATCAGTGATTATTAAGCTCTTTTATAGTGGGATTGCTATTAGGTCCTTTTCTGATAGTCAAAAGTACAATGAGAACTCTGCCAGTCTCCCAAGTGTCATCAGTTAATTGCTCTTAGATAGTAACCAGACTTTCTCCTGCTCAGAGCACATTCCAAGAGGTTGCAAAACAATTAACCAAAGGTCACTAATAGGGAACTATCGATTTATTATAGGTGCTGGGACAGAAGACAAACTATTGCCTGGATTCATCTATACAAAACTTCACTAATAACTTAAAGTTTTAAACCTTCAGTGAACCTGTGGAGCTAGACAGGTGTGGATGTTTAGCCAGATAATTACTCCTAATAGATATTCATGTAAACATTCTCTGTCGTAAACTTCCATATCAATTTATGATTTGATTTTTTGGTGTGAACTTGTGATGAACTTTGTAACATGTGATCATGTATTCTGAAAGATGTGTAAGTACTGAAGACAAAAAGGATTGTTCCTTCCTTTCCTTTTCTACCCCGCCTAGGAGAATTTTTTCCTTTAGACGAAATTTTCCCTTACTAGAATTTTTTTTCCTTTTCCCCACTTAGGATCTTTCTGCTTTTTCCCTTAGATAGGTTTCATAGGAAACTTTTTACACTTAGTAATAAACTCTATAATAACTTCTCTAAGTGTCTTTTCTTCTTATGACCTCAGAGTAGCAGTCATAAGTTAGAGCCCAGCAGTTTCTGCTGAGATAGTACAAAGGCTATTTACTTAATCCTTTGCTGTTTTTAGGATGAGGTACTAAGAGCCAGAAACTGCAGTTTCTGACCTCAGAGGATCACAGAAGGCAGGTCAGCTACAGTAGCATAGTAACTTAAATAAATAAACCTTTATTATACAGCAACCCTAAATATCTTGTAAGACAAAGTCTTACCCCTGAATCTCCTAAGACCAAGTCTTCCTCCCCGTTGATGCTGTTCCCCCTCTGCTGCATCAAGAAGAACTGACAAGAAGAAAAAAAATCATTCCCGGCCAGGCAGTGGTGGTGCACACCTTTAATCCCAGCACTTGGGAAGCAGAGGCAGGTGGATTTCTGAGTTTGAGGCCAGCCTGGTCTACAGAGTAAGTTCTAGGACAGCCAGGGCTACACAGAGAAACCCTGCCTCGAAAAACCAAAAAAAGAAAAAAAGAAGAAAAAAAGGGGGAAAAAAAAAGAAAGAAAATCATTCCTACCATGCTGGAGATGGCCCCCAGCACTAGGGCATGCAATCACGAAGTGTCTAGCCATCAGAAACTGCCCTGCCATCCTGAGGCAAGGGCAGAGTCAGCAACATTTTCCAGGCTTCCCCAGCAACATTTTCTAGCACCCCCCCCCCCAGCAAGGATTCTGGAATGTCCCTAGAGATAGAGCCAAACAATTAAGAAAAAGGTCACCTACCCTTCCCTGGAATTGCACTAATGTGCTTTAAACTGGGCCTGTGATCTCACCTGGGCATCTCCATCTTGGTAAATGGTAGACCCCAGCATGCTGGACTCAAGCAGTAAAACACTCTTACCCATTGCATACTATTTCAGTGCAGGACATCATTCTTTGGCAAATCATGGACCCTAACAGCTGTGTTCCAGGGGTCCCAAGACGACATCTCCAGGTGTCAGCCACACCTGGAACTGGAGAGAAATCTCCCAGGTGGTAAGGCTTTGGTCCCATGAAACCTGCAAGTTTGGAGGGGTCTTGGAGAGCAGCTGAGGCCTGGCACTGGGAGAGGCCAGGAGAAGCCATTGGTGAAAGTGCAGTCTCAATGGCAGTGGAGACCCTGAGACACTGGAGTTGTCCTGAGCAGGGGACGACTGCCAGGAACTGAGCAATGTGAGAACAGAGCTGACCTGAGCCTGAGACCAGCTGTGTGTGCTGTGGATAGCAGAGCCTGAGAAGCTCAGAGAACTGTGAGTCCCAGATATCAGATACTGAGGTTTTGGCTCTGTTGGACTTTGGTTGTGTTTTGATATGATTCTGACAGTGACCTGGTTCTTCCCTTTTGGAGTAAGAAAGTATTTAACTTGTGTTTTAATTTTATATGAGCCCACAGTTGAGAGACTAATCTTTGTATATATTGGAAATTTTTTTTGAGGGGGGTCGTTTTTAATTTTGGGGCTTTTAAAACTATGTTGTGTTTTATGATGTAATACTGACCTGAGATCTTAGGGACAAGCAAGAAAGGAAAGGTTATGGTTTAGCCATGGCTTGTTTGAATGCCATGTAGAAAGAGGGTCAATTGTGCTGCTTAATTTTTGTCAACTAAATACCAGCTAGCTTCCTCTGGTAGGAGTCGATGTTAATCAAGAAAATGCCTCCATCTGACTGGCAACAGGGAGTTTGTGGGGGCATGTTACTAATTGCTGATTGATGTGGGTGGGAATAGACCACTGTGGTTGGGGCCATGAATGGAATGTGGCCTTGGGCTGTATAGAAATGCACACTGAGAGAGCCCTGGACAGCAAACAGTGAGCAGAATTCCTCCATGGTCTCTGCTTCAGGTTTCCCCTAATCCCTCAATGATGGACTCCGCCTCAGATGTGTAAACAAATAATATCTTTCCATCCCAGGAGACTCGTGGTCATGTGATAAAGCTATCACCTCAAGAGAAACCAAACTAGAATATACATCTTCTGTGGCCTGTGTCTACACTCTATGCAAATGAAGCCCACAATGACTAGGTCTGATGTCTTACCAGTTGGTACCAGTGCTTGACCAGGCGGATGAGACTCTTCAGCTTGGTTGGACAACAGTTCACAAAATACTCTTGAAGCTCCATAAAGCTAGGAGAGAACTCATCTTCCATCCCTGGCGAGGTCCGCCCACTGATCAGATTGGCATAGAATTGTTCGTTAGGCCTCCTGGGGATAACAAGATGACCTGTAAAGACAATTTCATTTAGTGGAACACCTCAGCCCCTTTCTGCAGTTCTTCAGTCTCTCTGAGGTGACAAGGTCAGTGGCTATGGGGTTCAGCGAACAGGCAGAGCTTTTCTGCAACAGGCATCAATCACATGTACCCATCTGCCCTACCACTCCTCAGGACCGCACACACGCTGAGCACTTCAAAGTCCCTGCTCCCAGTACATTCTAGTGAGGGCCTTTTCTGCAGACCTGGAGACATTGGTGGGAGGAACCAGCACACTGTGGTCACACACAAGGCAGCTACTCAGTCATCGGATAATGGCCAACCACACCTGGTTCCAGTATCTTCTGCATGGTTCTTGTCAACTGTGTGCAAGCCTGCTTGTGTCAGAGTTTACTGTGGAACAGTCTGCTGCATTCGTGTATCACGCCTCATGCTGACAGAGTCTCTGGCCTATTTTTTGTACAGATGTCGCGTGTTCCTGAGGAGGTATATGCATATGTTCAGAGACAACAGAGGACCTAGGATGTCTTCCTTTATAGTTTGTCAGCTTGTTTCTTTGCATCAGGGTATGTCTATAAACATGGAGCTCAGCTGGCAACCAGCAGGTCTTACAGATTCTCTTGTCTTTATCCCCATAGTACCAGGGTTACAGGTCAATGTGTGGCTCTTCCAGAGTTTAGGTGGGCATTGGGGATTTGAACTCAGGTTCTCATGCTTGTGCAGCAGTCACCCTTATCCACTGAGCTGTCTCCCCAGCACTGTGTGGTTTTGGTGGATGATTTTCTGTAGCATGTAACTTAATATCATGTGGATTTTGTTTATCCAGATCCTGACAGGAACAAGGTATGGCAGTGTTCGTATGTGTGTGTGTGTGTGTGTGTCCTTCCTCTGCACTTGTACAATGGATGGGCAGCAGGCTATGGAATAGATGTGTGTATAGGTGTGTTTGCACATTTGAGTAGACTAGGCAGGCAGCAGGCTGTGACTTGTGTGCACATATGTGCCATGCGGCAGGTTACACCATCAGGGTTTGATGTTGTCACAGGGAAAAGTCACACATGGATGGAGCTTGGACAAGCCAGTCACTCAGTGACCAGGGAGGTCTTTCCCTCATGGGCTTATTTTCAGTTTCAGGGTCTATAATACAATACGGCTCATGGCCTGTGTCATCTCATGTAGGGCTATGGCTATGGTCCTCTCTTTGGCTGTCGCCCACACCACCATTCCCAAGGCAGTCCTTCTGTGGTGGAGACGCCTCTTCATTGGAAAGCTACTAAGACTGAGGAAGTCCTGACCCAGACAGGCTTCTAGGGGAGCCCCCTCCTGGCTCATTTCTGTGTCAACCACACTGAGCCCCTTCCACTGAGCAGGGTTCTAAGCCTCTAGCAGCTTCCCACAGCAGGCTGCCCTGATCCTACTCCCAGGCTGGCCCTCTTAGTCCCTGCTGACTGAGACTCTGTCCTGTTTCCATGGCTCTCCTAAACCAAGGGCTTGTCTCTAAGTTAACAGCAGCAGTTCACACAGTGGCCAACAGGGGTGCTGTGTCCCCCAAATGTAAAGGCTCAAGTATTTTACAAGTTCCCCAAGGCCCCACTGTGCTCTCACAGGTGTTCCCTTAGTCAGGCAATTTGTAATTTTGGAGACACACTGTGTGTCAGGTCTGGTATAAGATTGTTGCAGGATATTTGATCACACTGTAAACCCTGAGATTAAGTTGTTTACTGGAAAAATTTGTTTTTAGTTGTGGTGTGGCTCAGCTTTTGCACACACCTTTAATCCAGGAACTTTCTGCTTGAATATTGTAAACAGGATTAAATAAAGTTAAGTATAGATCAAGAGGCAGAGCAAGCACCAGTTGACCGGAAGTGAACATGGGATTATTAAGAAGAAAACCATAGAGAGTAAGAGAGAGTCAAGAGGAAGGGTAGACAGACCCACAGGAAGTAGAAGAGAGTTTGAAAGAGGATTTTTGAGATGGCATGAGAGAGGGGATGTATTCTGGAACATTCTGGCTGAGGAGGAAGGTCAGCTGGGTGTTTTCTCTGCCTCCCTGAGTGCCTGCTAAGGCTTTTACCACAGCATCTAGCTTGTAAGTCTTAATTGGTAAAACTGAATAATTGAGATTTTTGTCAAAATTCAAGGTGAGATCTTTTCATGTGTAATGACATGTCTGTGCATGTGGGTGGTTGGGACAGTGGTGGCTGCATCTGCAGATTTACCAAGGGTACAGAGCTCCACTGAGAAGATCTACATCCTGCACAAACCCTCCTCAGACACCCCAGGTCTCTGCCCAGCTCTGAGGTTCCCAGTCTTTGGGAGAAGACTCATGAGTTTGTTATTTTCAGTGAAGTCTACATGGTCTCATGTTTAGGAAGACACAAGGCACAGCCAGCCATGAATAGGCCTGGTATGTTAGGGGAGCATCTAGTGTGACTTCCTCCCCTAACTGAGGCAGCTCACTACTTGATGTCCTTCTGGGATGGAGTCTCTCTCCCCACTATCAAGTTTCTAAAATCCCTCCTCCCCAGCTCAGCTTTACAGAGATACTCTCTTTAGTTGAATTTCTCAAATGATAAGCATTTTCAGTTCAGGGATGGAAGATGTGGGCTGGGGAGATGGCTCAGTCAGTAATGTGCTTGGCTCACAAGCTTGCGGACCAATGTTGGAATCCCAGGACTCAAAGAAAAGGCTGGTGTTGGTGGGGTAGGATTGAAATCCCAGTGCTGAGAAGGGGTGGGGAGACTTGAGGGTCCCTGGGGCTCTTCCCAACCAATCAGGCTCATGTGTGAATTCTGAACCAGGGAGAGACAAGGTCTCAAAAAGATGGTTGACTCTTGAGATGTGTTATCCATGGCTCAGGATCACACCCACACACAAGAGAACACCTACAAAACACACACATGCACACACAGACACGCACACACACATACACATATACATACACACAGGTGGAACTAGAAGGGGGGATGAAGGCATGCAGAAGGGTGAGCTGAGGTCTCTGGCAGGCTGACTTACCCAGGAATGCATAGGCTGGAAGCACATCAAACTTCACATCCTTCAGCAGGTAGGGGTTACTCAGCTTGAATCTCAGAGCCTGGGAGTTGGGACTCCATGAACTCTGGACCCCAAACTTTACTACAAAATCTTTCTTACGCTGAATCTCATCTAGCTGTTTCTTAATTTCCTTGATGAACTCTTCCCGATGATTTAACAGATCCTCAAAGCTAGTGAGACTGCTAAGGTACAACACCAGGTCAACATTTGACTTGCCCTTGAGTGTGGTGCCTTTGTCTGAAGAGCCACCCTGAAAGACAAAGATGAGAATGACAAGGGATAGGGAGAGCCATGCTGGGCAGTCCAGATGCTGAAGAGCCTAGGAGTCCTACACTGAGGGTGACGGATGGATGAATAGAGCAAGCTGACACATGTGCAGTGGAATACTAGTCAGCCCTGAAGAGTGACATCATGATCTATGTAGGAAAATAGAGGGTGCTGGATCTCCTCATGGTACAGAAGATAAACCAGACTGTGAAGGACAAACATCCATGATTATCTGTGGAGTCTATATCTGTGTGTTTGTGTGTGTGGGGGGTGTATATGCCAGTGGAGGAGGGGTCTAAAGGAAATGAGCAAGGAAGAGCAATGTGGGGGGACGTTAGAGCACATTTTGTCTCATGTAGAGTCCACATTAGCTGCACGCATGTGACATGCGATCAGTGAGGGCTCTCTGGAGAGGGTCTTGTATGTGGGGTAAAGGATAGTCGTGGTTGGAAAGAGACTGACTAAATTAATACAGATATATGAAAACGTAGCCCGGGCCCCATTGTTGCCATTGTTGGGAGGAAATACGCTCAAATGACATCATTTTCTTCTAAGAAAATGGCCTTGTGTTTTATATATATATAATGTAATAATATATAATATGTAAAATATTATATATATAAAATATTTATATAACATATATAATTACAGAGAAACTGAAAAATTAATAAAGGTGATCGAAATCTGTAAAACAGTCATTTTAAATAGAAGAATTCCCACTGAGAAGAGCCTCCCTAAACCAAATGCTGAGACTCGTCACTAACACACGTGAGCACCAGCTACTGTGGAGAGGAGGCATTACAAATTGTCACACCTGCGGATGGAGAGGTGGGTCAGTCGTTAAACGTGCCTGCTGTTCCTGTGATGACCTCAGCTGAGTTCCCAGCACCCAAGTAGGCCAGCTCACGGCCACCTATGTAACCTCAGCTCTAAGGGATCGGACACCCCCTCTTTGATCTTAAGAGAACCTGCACTACTGCATACAGGGCCCCCACTCACAACTAAACATATAAAAATACAATCAACTAAAACAAGAAAAAACTTGATTTCTGCGGCCTTCACAGAGCCTGAGAGTTAGGTACCATCACCATGAAATGCGATTTGACAGACGCAGAACTGAGCCCAGAGAGGGTCCATCAATCCAATCGCACACCAGGAGGGTCCTGTTTTGTCCTCTGTGTCACATTTAATTTATTCTATGTGTCCTTGCCATCCCGGGGTGCTGGAGAAGGTAGTTAAGTTACCCTATGTCACACAGCAGTCAGTGCACAGGTTGTATTCCCCCCAACTCCCTGTCCCCTACCCACCACTCTCCTCTAGTAATGCTTTGCCGATCTGAGCCTCAGTTTCCCTGACTCTGAAATGGGCGTGGCCTGGGAGCGGGAAACATAAACTGTAGCTGAGGCTCCTTCTCCAATACAGATGTGGGGCCCGGGAAGGGGGCGAACCCATTGCCCAGCTGTGATCAGAGTTGAGGAGGAGGGATCAGGGCTGCAGCCTAGCTTCTGAGAGTTCTCTCCCACCCTATCTTGGTCAGCTTAGGCTGAGGAGGGATTACCTTCCGAGCTTTGGAGGCCCTCGCTGGATGGGAAGAGCCCTGGAAGCATCTCTCGTTCAGGTGAGCGTATACAACATTCATTACTTCTCTGAGGTTATCACGGAAGCGGGTATCCGGAAGATGGTCCTCTATGAACTTGTCGAGCTTCGAGGCCGGGATGCTCCTGAGTCCCTGCTCCATGATAGGTCTGGAGCTTTTACTTCTGCAACCTGCTGGTCCGATGTCTCTCCCAGCCTGGCTGAACTGGGACTTTCAGTTTCCATTTCCCGGGAAGGGTGGGGATATGCAAATAAGCCAGGCCCTAACAGCCAATGGCGTCAGGGCTTCTGACAACTCCCTCCCCCGCGCCCCGCCCCAATTGGAACTGTCTCAGGATTCTATGCAGGGAAGATCGCATAAGGAAACTGATCTGGTTTTCTCAGGATTTCTTCTGGCAAAAGCTGTTGTTACACAGCATGTTTGAAGAGCAATCTGTACACTTAGGAGAAGAGGGGAAACCGAGTCAGGAAACTGCAGAAGGTGGCTGGTGGCTCCTGAGCTCCGCTTCCAGCTCCTGCGAACCTTTTAGGTGGAACTGCATGTTATTTTCTTTTTAAGAACAGCACCGTACAGGTTTTGCTTTTCCTTCACCTCTGGACTTGCAGTTCTAGGATTACAGAAACTTCTTACAGAAAGCTCAGCCTTCCCAGAAGCCTCCTCTCCTACTCACGTCCTACATTTTCCCCTGTGGTGCTGGGGGGCTGTGGTGAGAGTGAGGGGTAACCCAGGGCATTCCCAAGGATGAAGTAAAAGTAAAGGCTGTACCACCGAGCTGTCAGGACAGGTCAGCATTGGATATTACAGTTGAGCTATTTGTGAAGGCACCGGAAAGGTTGACAGTCAGTCTTTGGGTGGCGCACCCAAGGCCTCGTCAAAACAGTTTGATGCCCTTCAACCTTCTGCCTCTGTCTCCTCATCTCTTATTTAGAGAGCTGGAGAGATGGCTCAGAGTTTAAGAGCCCTGGTCGGGCTTCCAGGGAAACCCTGTTCAATTCCAAGGACCAACATGGCAGGTCCCAAACACACACGCGCACGCGTACACGCACGCGCATGCTCACCCGCACACAGCATACACACACGTGAGCTTGCCTGTGCACATACACACACAAATCCACACACAGGTGTACACTCACACGTGCACCCATGGACGTTGACCAGGATTTACTGTGATGCAGAGAGAAGGACCAGCCTTTTGCAGGAGCAGAATTGTCCTTATGCAGATTCATGAAGGAAGCAATTGCGGGTGGAGACTGTTCACCAGACACAGGAGCTCCAGGTGATTAGGGTAGAGATGGGACCTTTGGGGCTCTGCAGACCTAGTCCTGCTATCCCAAGCTGGTGACTTTTGGTGGGGTGCTTACCCGTTGGCCTCCCTGATCCTAACTGCACACTGAGACCAGCACCTTGTCTCCTCCTGCAGGGAGTCACTCAGACTGCCTGGGGCTTCTAGGTCATTAACCCTTCACATACAGGGAAACAAGAAAGAAAAGCAGCATTGGGGGTGGCCCTGGCAGTCCAGCAGGCAGAGGCTGATGCAGGAGGATGGATAATGGAGCCTGGTCCATCCTGGGCTAGACCACAGCTGGATTCACTCCAGAGTGTGAGAAAAGAATCCTAAAACAGATGAGGAAATAAACGGAAAAAAATGATCCCACCAAGGGCTATGGCTGAGAACACACTTTGGGCTGTAACACGGTTTTTCCCTTAAAGAAACAGGAGCAGGAAGTTCTGCTGATCATGGTTGTGTTAGCCCAGGTCAGAGGTCAGCCCTCGGCACAAAGTGTCAGCTTCTTTAAATTTCTTTTGGTCAGCCAGGTGCAGTGTCACAGACCTTTGACCCCAGCACCTGGGAGGCAGAGGAAGTTGGACCTCTGTGTGTGTGTGTGTGTGTGTGTGTGTGTGTGTGTGTGTGTGTGTGTTTTAGGTTAGCCTGGTCTACATAGTGAGATCCATGTTAGTCAGAGCTCAGTGGTGAGACTCTGTCTTGAAAAATAAACAACAACAAATTGTTGTCGGTTTTTGTGAGCCACCAGATAGATTCTGGGACCTGAGCCCAGGTCTTCTTCGAGAGCATCCCCTGCCTTAACCTCCTCTGTGCCATCTCCCAGCCCCCAGGTTCAATCAGTCTTCATGGCCTCATTGGGATCCTTCTTGGTGGATCCTGAGGGAACTGGGATGTGAAGGCCCCTCCCACAAGTGCCAAGATGGGAGCACAAGAGGCCAGCTGAAGGTCCTGAGCAGAGCTGAGTGAGAGTGAAGCTAATTGTGCTTTAAATACTCTATTCCATTTATTTCATGTGTGTGAGCACGTGACGTCAGAGGCCAACCTATAGGAGTCGGCTCTCTCTCCTTCCACCACGTGGGTCCCGGGGACCAAACTCAGGCCACCAGGCTTGGTGACAAACACCTGCTGCCTCTGAGCTATCTCAGTGACCTTTGTTGTTGTTGTTTTAGGACATGGTCTCATAGTCTCATAGGCTAGGCTAGCCTTCAACTTACAGCAATCCTCCTGCCTCCGTGCCCTGAGTGCTGGGATTATAGTATGTCCCTACAGCCGGTTCATCTATACTTTTCCATGCCCACTGTGAGTCTTAACGAGTGTCACTAAGTCCAGTGAGGTCAATGCCCCTGCCCACCCTGACTGAGCCTGGGAGAGCCCAGATCACAAGGTTTAAGACCCCGAGTCACCCTCTTGACCACATGGCCATCTGATGCTGGGGATACACTATTCCCATGAGCCCCTTGACCCAGCCCCTTCTCTGTCAGCTCTGTCTGACCTCATGGGGCCCTGACTCAGCTCTGCTTCCAACACCCACTCAGAGTAATAATAATAATAATAATAATAATAATAAATAGTTATAATAATAAAAACATGGCTTGCTGGAGATTGGGAGTTCCATGGACTAGAGACACTCACCCCTTCCTCCTGGCTTGTGCCTGCCTCTCCTGCTTTCTCCCAGCCTCCTGTAGGGGGCGCTCTCCCCAGCTCAGGAGCATCACCTTGGATGGTGTTGTCCGCCAGAGCCCAAGTATAAGGTAGACATGTGGGATGATGTTTCTGAATCCCGTGCCATGTGTCAGGGGTCTTCGTGGATGACGTAACTGCAATGCCCCGGGTATGTTCCAAAATGTTAATGTCAGAGAATGAGCACCTTGCCAATGTGAGGGGAAGACGTAAGTGTGTGGGGACAGTGATTCCTACCGCATCACCCCATGCGGTCTCTGTCATAACCCAGACAGCTCCCTCCCATTCTGAGCTGCCTTGGGTCTTTATTTCTTCATCACTTTGATAATTTAATCAGTTGGATAGGTTCCCTCTCAAGTCAAAGTTCTTGTATGCGTGTGTGTGTGTCTGTGTGTGTGTATGTTCATATGTGTGTACCTGTATGTAGATGGTTGTCAAAGGTCAACAATCAACAATGGTGCCATTCTCTGTTGCACTCATTTTTTGAGACAGGGTCTCTCAGTGAACCAATAGCCCATAGATGGTGTACAACTCGCTGGTCAGTGAGCACTGGGGCTACTCCTCCTCCTCCTGCCTCTCCCTCCTGGTACTCTAGTCCCATACCTCCATGCCAAGCTTTATCGTGTGTGCACATGATGTCGGTGGAGCATTGTGCCATGACATGCCAGCGGAGATCAGGGAACTCTCTCTTTACACATGTAGGTGAGTTCCAAGGATTGAAATCTAGTTTCTGGGCCAGATCCACAGAGAGGGTTTTAATAAAACATGGCCACAGGTCTCCTGCCAAGCTGGGAACCCATTATGTCCACAGAAAGACCCCCACAAAAGACCTTATCCCTTCTCCAGCCCCTTTAGCACTCAGCACTGGAAACTAGCTTTCAATTGCTGGAAGGAGTTAGAGACGACTCCTGTGAATCCTTGTCACATGCTCACACACATGAAATAAATGGAATAGAGTATTTAAAGCACAACTAGCCTGGCTCTCCCCAGATCTGCTCAGGACCCTCAGCTGGCCTCTTGTCCTCCCATCCTGGCACTTGTGGGAGGGGCCTTCACATCCCAGTTCTCTCAGGCAAGGTCAGGGTCCACCAAGGAGCCTATGCTATTGTAACGCCCACCTCGCCAGCAAGGAAGACACCACAACAGGATGCTCCTTCACGCACTTTATTGGGGAAATACTTTTGATTGCAAAGCGAAAGACCCCGAAGCCCAAAATGGGTGCTGCTTAAATAGCTATCACAACTGTATGTAAGTGTCTAATTGGTGCTTCTTACAGAACTTCATTTACATACAGCTCAGTAGGGTGAGGAGCCCTGTCTGAAAGATATGCATGCTCACAGCAGGTGTTTACAACCCTGAATACACTTGTTTTCCACCTCAGACACAGGAAACAGGCACCATCTTGTAATGGCGGCTCCTTACATCTCCCCCTATTTTGTTTTTTAAAAGCAGGCACTGGCCAATGTCCTTGTCTTAGGCTAGTTGACGTGCCCCCATAGCTAGCACCAACAGGACAAGACTCCAATAAGGAAGGGTAAGTTCCCTGTCTTAGGCTACAAGGGTTGCACCCACGCCTGGCATTCTATATGAAAAGAGAATGTGCACCCAGGTCGAGGCCACTCGCTATTCCCGTCATGAGGTTGACTCACAGCCTTTAATCCTGGATGATGTGCCTCTGGCTTGTGGCGTCAACCTACTCCCGTCATTGGGATCAATGGCAGCTGGCCTTGAGAAGAGAATCACAGTTCTTTATGAAGAGCCGCTAGCCACACTTGGGGGGGATGTACCTTGTTTGAGGGCTAGCAATGCTTGAGTAATTAGTACTTTGTTTCTTCTTTGACGAAATTTAAGTTTGCAAAGCAACCACAGACACAACACCAACCCACAGCAAACTACAGCCCCAAAGAGAACTACCCCTATCCATTCCTTAAAGTATGAAAATGCCAAAGTTAGCCAAGAAGTGAAATCTCCCACAGTGATAGGATTGATGCGGGTTCCATTCAGTACGGTAATCTCCATCAACAGACGATTCTGCAACCGCTCTGGTTGCTGAGACCAATTGCCTCTTAAAAAATTAGACAACAGGTTACCATCTTTAAAAGTAGAATTATCATACTTCAATGGGGTAATGCACATAAGTTTAGTATGACTAACACAACTTAGCTGTACAATATCTACAATCTCCTCCAATTTGCTTTGAAGAAGGTCCACTCTCTGATTAACCAGAAGAATACCAGAAGTGAGATGAGCATTCATTTGATGCTGTGTAACCAGAGCATCCGCAGCTCTTTCTACTGAAGCATCAACAGTTTGAGCTGCATTTACTTGATTGGCCATTGCTATGCCTGCAGTCACAGCAGCTGCTGCTGACACTGCTACAGCAGTCACAATAGCAGCTGTAATACCCAAATCTCTTTTTTGTCTAAATAAAGTGGCTATAGGGAAATCTTCTGGATCTGCTTCCACGGGAATTGGCACAAAAGTAGGTATATGTACTATTAAGGCCAAAGATAAAGAACCATTCCAGCATTCAGCTAAGTAGCAGGTAGTATTACTTGCGCTACAGCTCAGAAAACTTGTATTATTTTCAAACTCAGCCAATATAAAGAAAAAATGGAGGTGAAACACATACGGGGGCAGCCGGGGCAGATGCACTCACCAGCTCGCCATTCACCTTTATCCCATCCAGATAAGGATAGCTATTATTAGAGAGGGTGGCTGAGATATTTTGTATCACATGATATAGACCTTGCATAGAGACAAATGCAGAAAGGCTAGTACTGGCTTCAGCTATATTTGTTAATATCCATTGATAAAAGGGCCATATATTTCACCTTCCTGTTCGAATACCAGTCTTGTTGGTAGCAGCCCATTTTATAGGAGGTGAAAGGGCAAATCCTGAAGCAATCTCCATGTCAGGAGATTCTTTAGATTGACATGGCGTAAAAACTGGAGGAAAAGATAAATCAGGGGGAGACCAAGGCAAAACTTTCTTGTATGTTGCATTACGGGTGGGCCATTGTGATTTTCAAGGTGCGGTAACATTACTCCGGAGCAACATGGTAGTTATATTTAATAAGGCCCTGTCATTATTTGAAATATTTCCTGAACCTGCCATCGTACCAGCTGACACCTGCTTTAGTGCCTCAGCCAAGACTCCAGTACCAACCTCACTAAATGCGACAGGATCCACCCAGTTTGATAACGTGGCGTTCCTGAGTACGATACACGGAGTATGAGCTTTAGCCTTAGTAGTAAAGCAGAGAGTAAAATTCAATGGAAATGCAGTGGCATTGTATAAAACAGGCTCCTGTCCCATAGGCATAGCACATGGGATTTCCATAAAACATTGAGTAGAAGTGAACAATGGAAACACAGTAGAATTGGCATAAATGGGCATAGGTACGGGCCAAGATCTAACTATTGCCCATAACTGAATACTTAGCACTTTCTCATAAGTCATCATGACTAAAAGTGTCCACCACAGCATCTTCATTCTTCTTAGAAAATGTCCTTGGCTCCGCAACAATTCTGGTTAATCTCACTGGCACCCAGATAGGATTTTCTTCATTCGGTAGCGCCGTTCCCACACACTCAGTTCTGAATCCTCCCGTAGCTAAATCAGGGGTCTTCGCCGGTGCCTTGTGATGTAAATTCCTGGGTTTAGGCACCACTTGTCATGCCAACCTCGCCAGCAAGGAAGACACCACAACAGGATGCTTCTTCACGCACTTTATTGGGGAAATACTTTTGATTGCAAAGCAAAAGACCCTGAAGCCCGAAATGGGTGCTGATTAAATAGCTATCACAACTGTATGTAAGTGTCTAATTGGTGCTTCTTAAAGAACTTCATTTACATACTGCTCGGGAGGGTGAGGAGCCCTGTCTGAAAGATATGCATGCTCACAGCAGGTGTTTACAACCCCGAATACACTTGTTTTCCACCTCAGACACAGGAAACAGGCGCCATCTTGTAATGGCGGCTCCTTACATGCTATCAGCCAGGCCATGAAGACTTTCATATTTACTAAAGGCTGGCCTCTGACCTGAATGACAAGGCCGTGGCTTCTGCTTCTCCAAAAGAAATCCCTTAAATCCACCTATGACTTGTGGTCATAATCATGGGCAGGGCCAGTGTTCCAATACTTTCCTCAGTCTTCAGTTCCTTGTCTCTGCAGCAACTACAACAGTGATTTAGGTGTGTGGGGTGAGGTGCATGTGTGTCTGTGTGTGAGTGTGTGTGTGTGTGTGTGTGCATGTGTACATATGCATATGTATGACACAGGCTTCTTTTTACTGTTTTATGAGACAGAGCCACATCATGTAGCCCAGGCTGACCTAGAACCCTGTACCTTCTGTATTATCTTCCCAGGACTTGAGATCACAGGTGTGTACCATCCTGCCATGATGAACATCTACTCCTGCTGGGAAGAGAGAGGTTGGCATGGAGACAGGCTCACCTTCATGAGGGTGTGTCCTGGACACAAGTCAACACTTTATGCTGTTGAAGTGGACAGTGACAATTGATTGATAACTCAGGTGGTTACAGCTAGGGACAGAGGCACACCCCTGTGACCTCAGCACTTGGGAGGCCAATGGGGCAGATCCCCAAGTTCACATCCACCCAGTGCAAAGGAGTGAGATCCCATGTTAAAGAAAGATGTGAAGCCTTTGTCCTGTATGGACAGACAGGAGGAAGTGGGGGTAGAGGGCAGAGAGACTGTCTCAGATGATTCCTTGGATGGTGGTGACATCATGGGTGAGCATCTGAGAACCCACAGAACTTTGAGACCCTAAGTCTGATCTTCAAGCTGGCATTAACCTGGCCGACGGCTCATTACAATATCCAGCATGGACCAGTCACCTGGAACAAACCCAGCACAGCTGTGCTGAAACTGGTGCCTGCCATCTTCTGGATTTCACTCATTTGCTCTTCATGTTTTACTGAAGTCTGTGTGTGTGTGTGTGTGTGTGTGTGTGTGTGTATGTGTGTGTGTCTGTGTATGTGTCTGTGCATGTTCTATTGTTAACAATCTAGCAGACTATCAAAGGATGTTTCTTTAGTAACAGTTCAAGGTCAAGAAGGAAGAACAACAGAATCTATGTTTAGGATGCTATTTGCCTACTGGTCCACAGCCTGCTGTGATGAGGGTTTGACAATCCAAAGAAATGCCTGCAGGAAAACACCCCAGAGTGTCAGGGAGCCCAGGAGCCAGAGGTGACAGGTGCAGAGATCTGATTTGCATAACCCCGCCCTTCCAGGAAAAGAGGAACCAGCTATGGTTATAAGCAGCAGCTGACTCCTGAGGCAAGGCTGCAGTTAGCACACATTCCTGGCCTCAGGATGGCAATGGATGAAAGCAGCACTCCTATGGACGTCAGCACTCCTGTGGATGTCAGCACTCCTGTGGATGTCAGCACTCCTGTGGATGTCAGCACTCCTGTGGATGTCAGCACTCCTGTGGATGTCAGGACTCCTGTGGATCTCGGCAACATTTTGCCTTGGGAGATGGACAAGTTCATAGAGGATCAACTCCTGCCCGACTCTACATTTCTTACTGAGATCAGAGCAGACATTGACGTCATAAGTGCTTTTCTGAAGGAGAGATGCTTCCAAGGTGCTGCCCATCGTGTGAGGGTCTCCAGGGTTGTGATGGTGAGTCCCATTAGCCTGAGTTGACCAGGATGGGGTGGGAGAGGATTCTCAGAAGCCAGACTGCAGTTCTTAGAGGAGAGTGAGTTACCTCCCTGCTCTGTGCCCAGTGTCCTCATGTACACCCCAGCTATGGCACAGGGCAGAGAACAGAACAAAGACCCCACCAGCTGGATGACTGGACTGATTCATTGCCCGAGTTTCCATCTGTCAAATGGGGCTATACAACAACAGTCCCTACCTCCGTCACTGTGAAGGCTGCAGAAATGTTATTTTGTAAAGTCCACTCACTTATGTCAGGGGTGGGAGTGTGTTAGTGATTGTGCTCAGCATTTTATTTAGGGAGGATCTCTGCTTATCACTTATTATTTTCTCACATTTTTCCTTTTTGTAAATTCAATTTTCTTAAATTTAACATTTGCCCTGTGGTCATTTATCATTGTTACAGACTTTCTTCCGGGACTGATGTTAGACATGGTCTATTCCTTTTAATACTCTAACAAGGGGGATCGTGACAACTGATCAATATGTCTGTGGCAATTTACTCAGTCTCCTCTGACCAAGTACCAGCCTACCACTTTGTACTTGAACCTGACCTGCCTCAGAGAGTCCTGAGTCCTCTCTCTCTCTCTCTCTCTCTCTCTCTCTCTCTCTCTCTCTCACACACACACACACACACACAAACATACACACTTCTCTTTAGAAATAGATAAAACAAGGGTGTTCATCATTCTGAGTCTGGCTTATCTCCTTCATCACAAGGAGATCCTGAACTCTCTATTTTCCTACAGAGATGCCAATTTCATACTTCGGTGCTGAATAAAATTCCACTGCACATGCGTCAGCTTTCTCCATCCAAGAATCACTCTTGGTGATGGACTCCTACTCTGTTCACATCTGGATTGCCCAGCATGGCTCTCCCTGCCCCTTGTCATCCTCATCCTTGTCTTTTAGGGTGGCTCCTACGACGAACACACTGCACTCAAGGGCAGGTCAGAGGCCAACATGGTGGTGTTCTTTAACAATCTCACCCGCTTTGAGGATCAGTTAAAGTGGCGTGGAGAGTTCCTTGAGGAAATTCCGAAACACCTGTGCCAGTTGCAGCAAGAGAGACATCTTAAAGGGAAGTTTGAGATCCAGAACTCAGAACAGCCGAACTCCAGGTCTCTGAGCTTCAAGCTGAGCTCCCCTGAGCTCCAGCAGGAGATGGAATTTGATGTGCAGCCAGCCTATGATGTCCTGCGTAAGTCAGGCAGCAGCAGCCTCAGCCTGCTCTTCCTCATGCCTGAATCCTCTCTTCTATTTCTCTGTGTCTGTCTCTGTGTCTGTCTCTGTCTCTGTCTGTCTCTCTTTTTCTCTCTCGCTCTCGCTCTCACTCTCTCCCTCTCTTGCTCTCTCTTTCTCTGTGTGTGTGTGAGAGAGTGTTGGGGGGAGTATGTTCATGTGTGTGCAGACCTCTGTGCACGTGTTTGCATGTGTTGGTAGTAGCCAGAGGCCAGCTTTGGATGTCTGTTACTTAGGAGCCTATTTTAGTTGAGAGGTTGACCTGGAGTTTGCTGCCCTACCTTCGTGGCTCTTGCAGTAAGGAGCTGGGGTCAGGTGTGGTATGTGCTCTGATGGAGCTGAACCCACAATCTCTGGTACCTGGAGCCTCTGCATGTCTATAAGGTACAGTACAGGGCTGGGGAGAGGGGTTGTGTATTCTAGAAGTGTCTGTAGGTTATGAGTCTCCAGCTGTAAACAATTATACTCAGATGTACTCTGGACACACTTGGGATTCCTCTCCCACCGGCTACAGTCCAGGCAAGTTTGTTTTCTTGTTTGTTTTGAGAAAGGTGAAAGGGCCAGTTTCATGTCATCCTATCTAGTCAGACAGCCTGAGGGACTCTCCTGTCTCTACCTCCCCAGCACTGTGATGTCGGTGTGGACCCTCATGCCCCTCAACCACAGCTTTTAATGGGGATGCTCAGTATCTGATTTGGGGTACTTGTACTTCTCTGAGAAGCCCTTTACCCACAGAGCCATCTGCCCAGCCCCAGGGGCATCCAGAAAATGCCCTCATGGTGAACAGCTCTCTACATGACTGAGATTGGGAACTGTGTGTTTCTAAAACTGGACAAGAGTTATAGCTAAAAATTAACATCTGTTTCATCTTCTATCAAAGAATGAGAAACCTCAGACCTATAAGGATGCCTAGGCTTCTGCGGATGGGTGGCGGGGTGCTGGATACAGAAATTCCCAAAGAATTCTTCTCCCCTCTAGACAACTAGACACCCAGCAAACACACCACAAAATCCCACATGCACACGTGTTATGTAATTGCACACTGATGAATCTCTATATTAAGTTCTCTCACACTACACTTGACTGACACACAGTGGGTCTCCAAAACTGCGAATTTTCCAATCTGCCCAAGAAGACCAGGAACACCTATGAAAGACCAGTATTTGGGAGCTTGGAGAATTCTTCTGGTTTTATAGTTCAGAGATACAGCACCCCCTGTTGGCCACTGTGTGAACTGCTGCTATTTACTTAGAGACAGGGCCACTAGCCCTTGGCTTAGGAGAGCCATGGAAACAGTCCAGAGTCTCAGGCAGCAGGGACTGAGAGGGCCAGCCTGGGAGTAGGACCAGGGCAGCCTGCTGTGGGAAGCTGCAAGAGTCTTAGAACCCTGCTCAGTGGAGGGGGCTCAGAGGGGTGACCCAGAAATGAGCTGGGAGGGGGCTCCCCCAGAAGCCTGAGTTGCTCATGGACTTACCCAGCTTGTGACAGCTTTCCAGTGGGACAGGAAGTCTATTGTAGAAGGATTGCCTTGGGAATGCTTGTGTGGATGACATCAAGAGGAACACAGCCCTAACCCAGGTGACTGAGCAAATGAGACCTTCTGTGTGCTGGGTCCTGAAACAGTAACTAAGCCCTTGAGAACTTCCTGGATCACTGAGGGAATAGACTTGTTCCAAGCTCCATCAGTGAGTGATTTGGGTCTGTGCCAGCATCAAAGCCTGATGCCTGACTGTGTGGCCTGCTGCAACCATGGCTACACACCTGCAGATACCAAAAGTGAAACCTAATGCCTGGATAGTCTGTTCAAATGTTCAAACACATCTGCACATAGCCATAGACACATCAGTTTCATAGTATGCTCCCTGTCACTGTAAAAGATCACAGGACACACAGACACCACCACCACCACCACCACCACCACCACGATCATATCCTGAAGCTTTCAGGAACTGGACAACCAAATCTACATAACACTAATTTAGGCACTACAGAGATTGGTGCACTGCAAACATACAGTCCCTGGGGAGACAGTGTGGTGGATAAGGGTGATTGCTGCACAAGCATGAGGAGCTGAGTTCAAATCCCCAACGCCTACCTAAGCTTAGGAAGTGCCATACATTGACCTGTATCCCTAGAACTATGGGGACAGAGACAGGAGAATCTCTGGGGCCTGATGGATGCCAGTCAAGCTCCATGTTCACAGAGAGACCCTGCTGCAAAGGGAAGGGGTGACAAACTATAAACGAAGACACCCCATATCCTCTTGTGGTCTCTGTATATGTGTGTTTGCCCTATCCATGCACACACAATCCACCCATCATTTCAATATAGCACAGAGACTGTATGCACAAGATAGACAACTGAGGTAGAGTGCTCCAGGGTACGCCAGCACACAGTTGGCCATTATCAGATGACCGTGTAGCTCTCTTGTGAGTGACCACAGTGTGCTGTTTCCTCCAGGCCTGGGAGTAAGGCATCCTACTAGGAGCAGTTGGTGACACAGACTCTCCAGGACCAATTCATGTACACAGTCCAGAGGTGTGGTGGGCTCACGTGTCTAAGGGGAGTGATCCTTGCTGTGGACAAATTCTACCCTGTTCACTGAACCCCATAGAGAGTGAGTGAGACCCTAGAGAGAAGGAAGATCCTCAGAGCAGGGATGAGTCTGAACATGAGATACTTTCTTTATAGATGAACTGAGAGACAACAAGCACCCTGAACCCCAGTTGTACTACCAAATCTACACCCAACTCATCCATGAGTGCACCACCCTGGAGAAGGAGGGTGACTTCTCCATCTGCTTCATAGAGCTCCAGCAAAACTTCCTGGAGTACCGCACACCGAAGCTGAAGAATCTCATTCATCTGGTCAAGCACTGGTATCAACTGGTAAGGCATCTGACCCTGACACTCTGGACCCTATGTGTAGAGACTGTGGCTACAGGTCCGAGAAGAGGTCTATTCTAGCTTGCTGTCTATTGACATGATAGCCTTATCACATGACCAACAGTGCCCTGGGAAGGAAAGGTCTGTCTTGGCTACACATCCCAGTGACAGCACATCTCTGAGGGAAGTCAGCACAGTGACTGAAGCAGAGAGCAGGGAGGAATTCTGCTCACTGCCTTCATCTCCATGGCTCAGTCAGATTGCTTTATTATACAGTGCAGACGCTCAGGCATGCCACCAACCACATCCATCACTGATCAGGATCGTGTCCCCACAGACTGCCCTGAACCAGACTGATTGAGGGATTGTCTTGATGAAGGCTGCCTCCTGCTCAATGACCCTAGCTTCTGTCTAGTTGGCAAAAACTCACCTTCACAAATAACCCACTTTCAAATGGATGCTCTCACACATACACACCACTCTTGAAACATAACCTTTCATTTCTTGACTTTTGGGAAAGACATCATTTCAGTATCTTGCCATAAAACACAATCTAGAGTTAGGAATCTAAAAGGTTTTATTTTTTGTTTTTGTTGTTTTGTGTTTTTGTTTTTGTTTTTTTGTTTCCTTTTTTGTTTGGTGGTTTCTTTTTTTGTTGTTTTGAAATTTCAATACATAACAAGATTAGTCTCTCAAGATGCACTTACATAAAATTTACAACACTAATTAAATTCAACCTTCCTTCAAGGAGTCACTGTCACAATCAGATCAAAAAACAACAAAACCCCAACAGAGCCAAAACCTCAGTATCTGAATCTGAGACTCACAGTTCTCTGAGCTTCTCTGGCTCCGTCATCCACAGCACACACAGCTGGTCTCAGGCTCAGGTCAGCTCTGTTCTCACATTGCTCTGTTCCTAGTACTCATCTCCTGCTCAGGATGATTCCAGTGCCTCGGGGTCACAACTGTAGTTGAGTAGTTGAGGCTGTAATTTCACCAATGGCTTCTCCTGGCCTCTCCCAGTGCCAGGCCTCAACTGCTCTCCATGACCCCTACAGACCTGCAGGTTTCATGTTAGCAAACCTTACCACCTGGGAGATTTCTCTGCAGTTCCAGATGTGACCTGCAAGCTGGAGATGCAGCCTTGGGACCACAGCTGCCATTTGATGACCGTAAGGAAACTCTTTTCAGATGGCTCAGCCCCCATGATGCATGTCTCTTCTTCATCAGAACTAACCTCAGCTGCAGCTGATGAGAAACGCCCGATTCTTCATGCACCACTATTCCACATCTGCTGTTTCATTTGTGTCTCTGCATGTCTACTTCCTTCGTCACCAAACCCCTCACGTCATTTTCTATGCCTTCGATTTTCCTGTCCTTTCCAGATATTATCTCTTTCAGTGGGTGATTTTTCAGTATTATTTCTGGACTACTTTTTAAATGTATATGTGGTGTTTGTGTGTGTGTACCTGTAGAGGGGCACCCCGATAATAAAGTCTGCTTCCCTAACTGGTTCTTGATTTGGTCAATAAAGAAGGTGGGAACCAATTGCTGGGCAAAGGTTACAGGTGGTACTTCCATGGAGATAAAAGAGATGAGAGGAAAGAGAAAGGTCTTTCTGGCTAGGCTTTGGAACGGGAAGCACACAACAACCAGGTAAGATCTTGGGCTAGCTAAAACTGGCTGCCTCGTCTTGTGGTGGGTAGCTGATCTAGGCTGGCTGTTAAGGTTAAGGCTGGAGATTCTGCACCCAGCCATTGTTATCTGGCAATATTAAAGACAATAAAGCTGTCTAAGTGTTCTTCTTCTGAAGATCAGAGTTGGACAGAAAGAGAGAAGTCATGTCCTTGATGGCTGGGAGGGGCTGGGAGCACCATTGCTATACTGGGAAAGAATGTAGCTGGCCATTGGCAAAGGTAATCAGGGAAGACCAGACAAATTGGGAGTAGGGCCAGCTGCAGCTGATCTCCGAACTAAGCAGGAAGCAGAGCCATAGTCCTGGGAAGGGAAGAAGTGTGTTTTTAAAATTACACACAGCATGTACCTGTTAATGGGAGCACATGTCTTTGTGTGTGCTTGTGTGTGCATAAGGATGTGAAGGTCAGAGCATGAGGGCTGGTCCTCAGTCACGCCCAGCCTTGTGTAATCAGTCAGGGTCTCACACATGACACTCAGTGTGCTGGATCAGCAGGTCTATAGAGTCCTGAGCCCCTGGAAGCCCCACCTCCAGCCCTTTGAGCTAGGATTATGGATCAGCATCCTCAAGAGCCTGACACTCATGTAGATGCTGGGGTCTCACCTCTAGTTCTCACCCCTGCACAGGGAGGGAGACACTTCACCCCTGAGCCATCTCCCTGGCCCCTTCCATGATACTTCAGAGACCATGAGAAACTTCCATAGTGAGCACTTTTTATGTCCTGCCCCCACCCTCACTCCTAGCTGTCACTCATGGTGTCTTGATTCCTCCTGTGCCTGCTAGTGAATGCTATCTTGGTGGCGCACACAGGGTCCATCTGAACTAATCAGCTCTTGGTTATAACACAGGATGGGCCAGAGACTGAATTTAAATGACTGGGAGTGAAATGACATCATCAGGTGGCAGCTGAATTGAGCCTGTGTGAAGTGGCCCCCACATAACAGCTGAGAGCCCCGTTTTTCTCATTGCCTTTCTCTTCTCAGTGTAAGGAGAAGCTGGGGAAATCGCTGCCCCCACAGTATGCCCTGGAGCTGCTCACAGTCTATGTCTGGGAAAATTCGAAAGAAGATTATCATGAAACAGCCACAGCCAAGAGATTCCGGACCATCTTAGAACTGATCATAGATTACCAGCTTCTTTCAATCTACTGGACATGGTATTATGACTTTCATCCTCAAGAGGTCTCTGACTACCTGAACAGACAGATCCAAAGAGACAGGTAGGTTATCCCAGCGCGGCTCTGCTCCCTGTGGGTGTCAGGCTGCAATCCTGTGGAAAGGGGGAGGTGGGAGATCTGAGTCACTGCAGCATCTCCTGCACTGCACCTGGCTGACATGAGGCCCTAATGCCCTGGGAGCTGGGCAGAGGGGTGGGATGGTGTTTATCTTGTCTGTGATGAGAACACCAAGGCTCTGACATTGTCCAGACCCAAAACAGCAAAGGAAGGTAGGACATGGAATGGGAACTGAGATCATCCAACAGTTACAGAATCATAAGCGTTGTGAGGCACCAAAGACCAGAGATGGACCAATTACCTGTAAATAATAGAGTGCTTTGTCACCCTAGGGAGTCACATGTCTTCATTCTGTGTTTTTTCAGTTTTCCCATGAGACTGGCTGGTCCAACTCTCCACATCACACAGATCAGAGAACCTGAGGGAGCTGCCCCAGGACACACAGCTACTAAAGGGTAGATTGGAACCCAGGCCTTCCAGGTCATACCCAAGGATCCCTCCAGTCTTGCTGTATGTTGTGAGGCAGGGAGTCTGGCCAAACTTTAGATAGGGATGCTCTGCTGGGCTCCTCCTCTGTCCCTTTGAAGTGATACCTGAGATACCGGCCAGCTGCTCAATTCCCTCCCTGAATGTTGCTCTGCAGAAGGCCTGTGATCCTGGACCCAACAGACCCAACAAGGAATGTGGCTGGTTCAAACTTAGAGGGCTGGGACCTTCTGGAAGACGAAGCAGTGTGCTGGATGGGTTTCCCTTGTTTTGAGTACCCTGATGCGTCCTTTGTGTCCACCTGGGATTTATCGATGAGATGCCACCCTGTCCCCTTGCACACAGCTTTGATGACTCCATCTGCTTGGAGAATATTCTCACCGAGATGTGATCTTCTTCTAAAGATCTCCACAGTCTTGTGGAGGCCAGCTGCTTGCCTTCTATTACAACCATTTTTGTCACATTTTGTCATATTATGGGCTGGCGGGAAGGCTCGGTGTGTAAAGATACTGACAACACTGAAGCCCTGGGTTTGATCCCTAGAACCCATATGGGAGAAGGAGAAAAACAAATCCTCCAAGTTGTCCTGTCGCCATCTTCTCTGTGCTGTTACACATCTGGACCTGTACACACACATATTCACAGAAACTCACACAATACACACTCATGCACACATCTACACAAACTCACTCACACATACACACAAACATACATTCACACAGAACACACACTGAGACACTCATACACACACTGACACACATGGAGAGAGTGTAAAGGACATTGAGAACTAAGGTTGCTGGCTCAAGGACTCTCACCTAGTGATTGGTGGGGCTTGGATCCCATGGACTCTGAAGCCACTGTCAGGTCCATGAAGCAGCCTGTCTTCCCTGTCTCATTGTCACGTGACCAATGGGACTCAGCAGGGCTGTGTCACAGCCACAGAGGCACAGAGGGACCTACACTTGGACGTCTCCCCTCCCAGGTCAGGTTCTGCCTGATGCTAGGGAAGTGATGATGTCACGTGTGACCTCAGGGTGGGCATGAACATGAGTGCAGGGATGTGGGAAAGAAACCTCAGGAGGTCAGGAAGGAAGTGAGAGGGGACCTGGAGGGAGGCAGCTGTGGGAACAGTGGCCTGTAGTGCTGTCCTGCAGCAGAGAGGTGGCGAGGCCATGTCTCCCCTTTGGCAGATCTGTTATTGAAGAAGGGGACTGTAGGTGGGGCTATATGTACCCTCAGTGGGCATAGTCATGAAGGTGTCCTGATGGTCATTTTTCCAACCCCTGTGTGTGCTGTCCCTTTTTCTGAGGACCTCCAGCTGGCCAGTCATGGTACCCACCCTCATGGCTGGTTTGCATCCCCCTCCTGGAAGCAATGCAGGCTCCTGACATGATTGTATGCTTTTCATTGCAGGTAGAGAATCCTAGATGTGTCGTCTTGTGAACACCAAGCACTTGGTCAGGAGGCTCTGGAGTCAGAGGCCTGTGCTCCTCTGATGCAAGACCTTGACCCAGAGAGGACAGGATGCTGCTCTAGGCTCCAGTGAGGGGCATCCAGCCTGTGACCCGACTACAGGCTTCTGATCCCTGCCGGCCCATGGACACCATCCTCACAGCCTGTGTCATCTGCCTTATCCTCCAGCAGTGCTCTCTGGGAGTCAGACTCTGAAGGATCGAGAACTCAAGCTTGACGTCCATCTCTCCAGCTGTTGGGAAGCTCCATCTGACACTGCCTGATCAGCAATAAG